TGTTTCAAGTATTCTTTTTGGCTCAAAATTAACTATAAAAATGAAACATAAATCTAATTACTTTACTATTTGTTCACCATAGCACACATTTCTAAGTATTTCGTAATTAGTATAGAAAAAATATTGAAGTTGTAAAGAATTTACATACGGATATACAACATTGATTTTCAGGATTTCTACTGCCCGTTCCCTTGTCCATCCATCTGCCTATCAATCAGAATGTCTGACTACCCAACACTCCGATCTTGTGTGTTTGTATGTACGCTCTCCTAAACAGTTTTACGTGTTCTAAACAATTCTTTCGAGATTACAGAACTGAAGACAACGGTCATTCGCGAGACCCCTTGAAATAAACACGTGTGGTCTTCAGCCGCTCTAACATTACGCAACAATTTTCTCTTAAGGAATACTTAAAAATTTTTACTGTTCTTTAAAAGGTGTTAAAAATGAAATATTTTCGAACAACTGGAAATAAATTCCACTAGAATGATTGCCTGTATGAGACGGAGTAGAAAATATCATTAAATTTGAGACAAGCAGAAAAAATTATTTCCTTGAACAGGAAACATCTTATTTATCTCACGTTATATAGTTAAACAAATGGCATGCATATGCTATCTGATTCATTACAATTTCAGGTAACTGCAGTATGATAAAAGAAAACATAAAAATAAAATTAAATCATGAAGTTATAACAGGATAATAGAAAACATTAAATTAATTGAAGTTCACTTCTATGTAATAGTTTTTTTAACTTCATATTTGTATATGATACCAATGATATACGCAAATAAATGAGTAAAAACTGCAGTATTGAAACGAACTCTAAACGAATTGTAATTTAAGAGAATTTACGGTTTTTCAAAAATAATGTAAATATACGATTCTGGGAAATGACTTGGTTGACTCTACAAAAACCTTCGTATTTTGTTTCTGTTAAAACGTGCGCCCTTTATTGCCTGCAATTCAGATGTTCAAAATCAAACTACGTGAGAATGCGTTATTAACAATATTAGATCTATAAAACAATTTTGCGAGTGAAAAGAGTTTTAAAACCGTTAGAAATGGATTGGTGTGTGCTCAGTTCATTGATGTTGAGAGTTTATGAAGAAACCAATAATTCTTTTACAATCTTACTGGTCTCTCTGTTGACAAACATTGACTCGCTTCATGATTTGGTGGCAGCACATTTCGATTTATATCTACTCGTATTTCACTTGACGTCGCAATTTGTCAGTTTGGATTTGTTCGGTTATTGACTACTCGTATTTTTTAGGGCTGATAAATAATATCTTTTGTCAATGGTTTCCTTCTTCTTTTTCAGTCGATTTCATCTTGTTGATAGGTACTGCTGAAAACGAAGTAGCGACACTTCCTTCATGAGTCAACGGAAAGCACTATTAGAGGAGCCTTTCATTTTTGGCGTTGATTACAATAACTAATAAAATGAATAATAGAATGTAGGACATGTGATTCAGATTCCGGACGCCACTGAAACACTTGCATGTTACGAGGGATGTTGATAATTCTGGCTTCAGGCATTGATATCCTACCAAATCAGTTCTTCCAGGAACGTAAGTTAGGGAATTTAATTCATATAATTAAATGTTAGTTCACTTTAATATCCGCCGTCTCATTAAAAGAATCAAATACTAATACTGATCTCTCCGTCTGCCAGTCATGTTTGTCTGTCTGACCTGTCTGTCTCACCAAAAAAATAGAGCTATTTTTAACTTAAGAAACGACATTCTGATTTTATGGTAAGTTAACAAAATAAAATTCTCGTTTCAAATTCAAGGGGCTGCTTAATTAGTGAAATCGTTCGAAGAATATTGATTTTGGAGAAAATCCTGTTAACGGTTTAGGTGTTTGTGTTTACAGACGGATGTTTTCAAAAGTAATGAATATCAAACAATTTTGGGTTATACAATTATTTAATGACTTTCCAGTGTGTTTGAGGATAACATTTACCAAGAAGGAATTGTGGAAAGCAAGAAAAAACACTATTCAAAAGATAGGAGTCACTTCAATAAATCATACATTACACTTGACGAAAAATATAATAACGTAAGGTTATATAAATAATACGAGTTAATTGCTTCTTATCCATATTTAATTTTGATTCGTTCAAAGAATGTAACTGATTACTAAAAATGACTACTTTTATCCTTCGAACGGTAGTGTTTTAAGCATTATTCATTTCACCATAGGGCTTCATTATTCATTTCACCATAGTGCAATCCCAAATTGAAGACCGAATGGGTCTTCTTCGCGTGCGTAGCTCGAAGGAGCGCTGGTCGCAGGGTCGGCGGCCTCAGTGCACGAGGACGGGCGCCGGCGGCGGGGGCGGGGGCGGGGCCAGGGCCGGCAGCGTGGCTGTCAGCAGCGGGTGCGGCTGCTCCAGCAGCTCGTCCAGGGCCTCCAGAGCGCGCACCACGCGCTCCGCCGTCGCCGTGCGATCTGCGCATGCGCACCGATTCGTCAGACGCTGCCACAGAATGCTGCGCCTCGCAACAAGTGTCGCGCGTCATATTAAGTGAAAAGAGACCAATTATCCGAATTTTATTTTGATGAGATTGATTCCGAGTTACGTCGTTTGTTCTGCTTTAGGTCATTTGTACCGTACATGTACTGGATGTTGTGTACTGGGAGATGGCTGTCTTTATTTCCCAGAGGAAGTGAGATCCGGTGCCGATCTACACGTCGGTAGGGGTTTCCTCCTCTACGTATCTCCGCCAGCGGGGAACTCTCACCAGGTAGGAACACGACCTGTCAGCCAGTGATACAGTGACAACAATATTGCCGATAAACTAACGCAATCAGAGGAGAATATTGTGTAATTTGGAAACGTATGTACCCCGAGATTTTCTCGGGGCACCTGGGTGCCCCAAGAATGCTCTCTTGGCTTACTGGCGAAGCCGCTTGCCTTTCACCACTGAAGTTTCGGGGTTTAATTCCCTAGAATCCCCTTAGGACCTCATGTGAAATTTGTTACGACAAAACGAATTTGCATGCTTCACAGCGGCTAGTCCAACGCTTGCGAAGCGTCCTATACTTTACTCCATCCATATTTCTTCCCAATTCTGGCCGCTGGGTAGTGACGCAGGAGCGTGTAAGAGAGAGGCGCGTTCGCGGAGATGCTACCTGGCGGTCCTATTGACAACTGACTGAGATAGGACGAGACGTGACGGACTATATTAATTAGTGGAGAATTACTCCCGCGCAATAGTTACTAGAGTATTTCTCCAAAAGCACGAGGCACTAAACGCAACGCTTCTCAAGGGGCTTAGGCCCGTGTTGACTCTACGTTAACCTCCCACAAATCCGAATTGTGCTCCGAAAATCCAGAAAGAGTGGCCGCCGAACCGATATGCCATGACATGCCACCGGCGTGTTGGAAAACAAGCGAACTCTCCGCAACCCCATACTCACCGCCGCTGGCGTCTTCCCCGGCTTGGTCGTCAGCGTGGGCGTGGGCGTGGTGGTTGGGGTCGGAAAGGGCCCAGCGCAGGGCGACAGCGGGCAGTCCGGCGGCGCGGCGCGCGCTCACCACCAGCTCAGCGCCCCCGCCCGCGCCCTCGGCGCCCGAGAGCACCGCGAAGTGGCGCAGGCGCGGGCACAGGCGTCGCGACGCCGCGTCCAGGTGCGCCGCCGACGCCGCGGCCGCGGCCGCCTGCCCGGGCGACGGCGTCCCCGCCGGCCTCCACTGCAACCGCGGTTCGCGTCAGCCTTACCATTGCAGGTTGGTATCGAAAACCAACCGTCTTTGTTTAAAATTAGAGAGTAGGGAGTTGGTGCACGCATCGTCTCTAATATTGATCTTCTACGCGTGCGCAGGTGCGAAACTTGAACTGCGCATGAGCGATAAATTGAATTGAATTGAATTGATGCCTTATTTTACATGGCGAGACTCAGGCCATGAGGCCTGCTCTTCCGTCTGACCACACAAATTTCGCTACGCTCTTTTCACCAACTAGCAGGTGAGGAGAGAAAGGAGGTATTTCTTGGGCAACAAAAAAGGCGATTTGAATTTAGGTCAGAGGCGTCATTTAGGCTTGAGGATCTTTCACATGCTTGTAAATCTACTAACATGGGACAGCCGGCTTTACTTCCCCTCCGAATGAAGGCGTACGAAGGATTTGGGTACACCAGTCCGATACGCTAACCGTTACGCCACCGCCGCGCGCGATAGTACTTTTACGTTCGAGGTGGCACAAGCTCCGTAGTTTTAGCAGGGCGTAGCGTACAGTAATCGACAGCAATATCGATATTCCGCGCATGAGCACACTCTCAACCATAGCTCGACCACTTAGAAAAAAATCAAGGCGTCGCTTGGGAGGCGTGGCTAAGCCATCCCCCCACTGCTCCCGAAGGATAATTTCACCTACAAATTAAACATCGAGAAGTAAAGCTCATCTACTGTATCTCATTATGAAATTATTCGAAACGATATAATTACCTTATCCACATCTGTATGTAACATTCTTCTCGATGTTAATAAACCTGAATATTCCATTTTATTGAATATAGAGAACACTGTAAAGCTAACGATGAGTACATAAAATCGCCTTTTCTTATCTTTCCTAACATGTTGCCGTTTGACAATGAACTATTCAAATATTCATTGCTGCATTGTTTCTCAATGCAGCGTGGGTACTGTGGTAATATTACATTAAAGTTAAATAACAGTTCGTACAAAAACGTTCTCCAGAAGTCAGATAAATAGTTAAAAATATTTTTCTCGTGTACGGTAAGCTTGGAATAAAACGTCTAAAAAATCTCATTTTGTATGGATATAAAAACAAAACCCGTGTCCCTACGATACCATTTATGCTTTTAAGGCTACAAAACGCAACGTATTGTAGTACAACACGACAATAATCTGATGCAGCTTATTGCTGATGATGATATTCAACTTCTCATATTATATATTAATTTTAGCGTCCTACCACTTATACGTATGAACATTAACTATGTCAAATGCCACACTTCTCTTTACGCTATATATCTTAAATAAAGATTATAAAGCTTTTTCTTCACATATTAATACTATACACAGAAGTTATTCAATGAGCCAATGAATGAGTATAATTCGTGATTATTTGCTGAATCTCTCATTTCGCTAGATGTGACAGGATTTGGAGGATGAGTTATTTTGACAGCAATACTATAAAACCATACCTGAAACTCGTTTGATGGTGCAAAAAGTTTGATTTACATGGGAGAGAGAACTTCTCAAATGATATGAACTGTCAATAACGCTCATTTTCATTTTTTCATTTTTTATTCTCGCGGACTTCCACAAAGGGAAGAGTAGTAAGAATCCTGGAGTAAAATATAAAAGGCTGGTCCGGATGGCCGAGATAGCTAAGGCTGTAGTGCCGTAACGATCTCGTAAGGATTGCGTGTTAGAGTACCGCCTCGGGCATGGTTGTATTGTGTTCGTCCCTTCACTCCCTATCACCATCACCATCATATCGTGTCATCCTCACAGTTAACATACCGTGTTCCACTCAATAGTGGTCGCTAATGAGCTAGACGTTGATGCGACCTTACACACACACATATTTATATTTATATTTATATTTATATTTATATTTATATTTATATTTATATTTATATTTATATTTA